CCCCAAAACCCCAAAACCCCAAAACCCCAAAACCCCATGGACACCTTATTTTCATGATATCTCAAAGGAGGAGAATTAAATCTAAATGAAAACTTGACAATGAATCAATAATAGAATTAATGAAATTACTCAAAAAGTAAAATAAATTCAGGTCACGCACTTTCCTCGGAGAGCAAATCATATCTAAGATGACTTACTCACTACTTGTAAGCCTCGATCTCGAGTAGTTAATCAACTGTAGCAAGTGCAAATTATTGTGCTTGTAACCCCTCAATTAATAAAGGCAGCACGTCGACAGTGCTCTAATAGTGGTGCAGCAATATAATTTCGCCTGGCCTGACCTCCTTAAGAATTTGCTCGGCTAGTGTCTGAGGATCTTTAACAACTCCATCCTAAGAATCAAGGGACCACAATATAGTTTTGACATTGTTTTTGTCCAAAACATCTACTACGGCGTCATTAATAGTCGCATAAGGAGGTCTCACTAGATTAGGCACAACACCTATGGCATCTTTGATTTCATTTTCAGTTTTTGAAATATCATCCTGCAGCTCATCCTCACTCAACGTTCTGTAGTCTCTGTGGTCCCAACTATGAGCACCAATAGTGTGGCCCTGCTCATAAGCCTTAATCAGGACATCCTTATAATCTGCTATATGTGAACCCACAACGAAGAAGGTTGCTTTAACTTAGTATTGTTCTAAGATATCCAAGAGTTTTTGAGTATTTTCTCCTGGTCCTTCGTCTAGAGTAATGGCAACTCTATTACAATCAGGATTTCCATTTATTTTAACAGAGTCTGGTCTTCTTTGAGCGAATTCAAAGTCTTCATCTCTTACGCTTTAGACAGAGGCCTGAGCATCTTCACTTAGTGCAGAGATATCACCAATTATTTGATAGATGGGATAGGTGCTTTATAGTTGTACTTGACATATGCCTGCCAGCAATAAGGGAAGGATCAAGGTTAGAGAAGATCTCATTTTAATAGTAATTAATTACAAATTATGCAAGCGTTTTTACAAGAATTTAAATTGCTAATTAACTTGAATAAACTTTTCATATCAGCTCTACTTAACAAGAAAATGGAATTACTTCCTACATACTTAAGCTCTTGGGCTTTTGTTATCTTACTCTAGTGGGGTTTATAGTATAAGTCGGCAAGATCAACAATCTTCTACTAATATGGCATTGTGAGTAAGATGCCAGATGTCCGACTTGACTAAATAAATCAATGGTAAAAATATTTTCTAACCAACTTTAACATCGAAATTTGAGGATTTAGGTCAATATAATAATCTTATATTTCTTAATTTTGCAATTAAACTTCTCATATTTTTTTCATATTCATCAATGAGAAAATTCATACTAATATTTAACACATGATAAATGACTAGGAAATGTGCATTTGAGGCATTTCTAAAATTCAAAAAATGGCAAAAAGCCCAAGGTAGGGTAGGGTGTACACGATTTATCAAATGTGGGGTTCATGGTTTTATAGGTGGGAAACGAGAAAAACAGAGGTTTTCAAACATCCCTAAAGCCCATTTCGCTAATCTCCTCAAAATCAAAGCATATATTTGAAAGGAAATAAATATATCATAAGATAGAAAGAAAAATTATAGACATCCAGCAGAGAAAATGTTGAAGGGTTTGTTTGTAATTAGTTCGTGAGATAAAACGATTTTAAATGCTCTAAGCAGTAATTTTTGTGTGTTTAAGGAATCATAATTTATTAATTGCTCTTAACCATTTTAAATTTAATCAATTCAAATTAGTCAAATTGAAGATATTTGGAATTATGGGGTTTTGGGGTTTTGGGGTTTTGGGG